TTAAGACAGGGTCTCACTCTGTAGTTTAGGCTGGTCCTGAACTTACTGAATAGTCAAGACTGGTTTTGAACTTACAGAAATTCTCCTGCCTGAGCTTCTCCAGTGCTGGGATTATAAGGGTATGCTACTATGTCTGGCCTGATGAGTAGAATCTTGAAATAGTTTTTTTTTTTTTTTTCTGTAACATAGCCTGAATTGCTTTTCAGACAAGAGAAGTGGTTGTGGAATAGTGCTTCATTTAATACTAATGTAAACAGAGAAACTAAACAGATTACATGGTGATCTACTCTGATGTAAATTTCTCATGATCCTGTCAATTATTCAACAGTAAAGTTATTCTGGGTATAAATATGACTAAAGTTATATTGACAGTACTTAACCATCATGATAAAAATCTTACATTTGGTAAGCAACAGATACATGGAACAAACCAAAAGCCAACCCCAAGTGTTTATGTAAAGAAAGACTGTATTCGGCTGGGGAAGGAGCTCAGTGATGGTAGAGCATATGTTAAGCATTGCCCTAGGGTCAGTCCCTAGCACCAAAAAAATGAAACAAAACAAAAAAAATGATTTTTTGTGTTAATTAAGAATGCTATGTGTTAGTGTGTTCACTTTTAATCTTTATACAGATGTATTTGTATTAAAAATTAGTTATAAAACTCCAGAGTAAGAATACAATTTAAGATTTTTGAAAAGAATTCTGTCTTAGTTACTTTTCTCTCATTGCTGAGACAAAGTAGCTGACACCCAAAGTTAAAGGGAGAAAGGTTTAGTTAGCTCATAGTTTGTAGAGGTTTCAGTCCGTAATTGGCTAGTTCCAAGGTAGGGTAGCACGGCAAACAGGTATTGTAGAAGAGAAATGGTTCATAATGGGAAGAAGATAGCAAAACAACAATGGACAACCACAGCTCTTGCTGGCCCTTATATCTTATCCAGGTTATTTAGGGTGGGTAGCACTCTCCCCCTTATACTTAACACTGTCTATTCTAGCATTGTACCATGAATCAGTTCCAGCATTACATATACTAGATCCAGCCACTTCAGAAAATGCCCCATCTGTGGCTGCCTAAGGCTTCGGGGAGACATCTAAACATAAGCTGTAACAAATTTTAAGCTTGGATAAAGCTTAATTTTTTTTGTGTGTGTGGGTACTGGGAATCAAACTCACGACCTTATGCTTGCTAGCCAGGTGTTGTACCACTGAGTTACTCTTCTGCTGTTGCTGGGAGACACTCAAAATGCAGGAAGGAAAGGTTTATTTAGCTCACAGTTACTGCAGGTTTCAGTCCATAGTCAGCTGGGTCCAAGGCAGAGCAGCACATAGCAGAAAGCAACTTTTCATGGGGGTGACAAAGAGCAAGAGAGCAAGTGAGGGGTAGCTAGCTTCTCTTCCCTCCTTACATTGTAATGCAAATTAGCTGCCCCAGGGCAGGTGCAACATCCACACTCACAATAATCAATCACCAACTCCAGATGCCACCCCATGACTGCATGAGGCTGTGGGGGACAACTATTCCAAAACCATAACAACTACTGAGCTATAACCTCAGCCCTACAAAGCTTAAATTTAAAGTAAGATGAGAAAGTTCATTTTTATTTATAAAGACTTGTCTAAGTTTACTGTACTAGAGCTCCTATTTCATCAACTAGTTGCCTCTATAATTCTTGCCTATAGTCCTGAAATTAACAAAAAGTCTAGGGGGGAAAGAATGAAAACAAACAATTATACAGTGACAGGTTTGATTCTTATTTATGACACCTCAGATTACCTTGATTTCCTGTGGAAGTGTAAGCCACCGAACTCCAGGGAGACTGTCTAAAAGTACTGCACTGTCAGCGTCATACTGTTGAACACTGGGACTGGCACTGGAATGGAGTTTAGCAGGCTGAAGTGCTCTTTGAAAGAGTAAGTTGAAAAAATAGTCCAAACGGGGAACATTCTCAACCTGGCAAAAGGCACTGAAGAAATGAGAGCTGTAAGTTAGAACAACATATGGAAATGGTCTTTATTTTTGTACCCCCCTAAGGGAACTGGGTCTTTCCCAACTACTAAACTTTTCCTCCCTCTACTTAGTAAGAATCATTGGTATAATGTTACTAATGGAGTGTTTAAGAAATTCACCCCATTTTTTTTTAATATACTTGAAAATATACTGAGTAGATGATACTATAGAACTGCGATAGCAAACCTTTTAGAGCTTTCAAGGATAACAAATAGCTGACTGTGGCACATGGGCTGTAGGCTTGTTACTACTGATACAGAAGAAAAATGGGGCCCAAACAAGTAGCCTTCATTCAAGAGAAAGGGCTGAAGAACCTGTTTTATTTTTGTAAAAAATTAAGTTGTTTTTACCTCTGATTATAATTTCCAGCATTTTCAGGCAACTTAGGATAATAAAGACATTCTGGGCTTTGTAATAAAACCACTGACTTTTAATCTTTTCACTGCTCTTACTAGGTAGCTATCAAAACAAGTTACCTAACTTTTCTCTGAACTTTGGTTTCCAACTCAGTAAAAATGGGGTTAAATACAGTCTAACTCACATGCAAACTACCCAGTATATAATAAATACAAATTTTATTATGCTTTATACTAAGTAGCACACAGTGACTATAAAACAAAAAAAAGTTACTTTTTCTTGTCATCACTATTGAAGGTATAATTATTAAAAGTGAAAGACGGTGAGAAAGAGAGGGAAAAAGGGGAAAGGACAGAACAAAGGACAAGGGGAGTATATTTTAAATCCTTTTAGCTACGTCAAAGTAATACAGCATTAATTCATCCAACACATTTGTTCCAGGCACTGTTCTCATTGCTAGAGGTATAGCAATAAAAATGCCAAGAAAGAGGAACAATGACCTCCAGTGGAGCTCACATTATAATGGAGAAAGACAACAAATGCACAAGTAGTAAAAGCATGAGTTCATACAAAGGAGTATGCAAAGAATTGGATGATGTGAATAGGTGGTGTCACTGGTTTGACATTTTATTTTTAAGGCAGGATTGTGGTACATTCTCCAGCCTGGTATCCAAGTCACAGGCTCAACCGATCTTTCCAGCTCTCCTCCCACATAGCTGGGACCACAGGCATGTGCCACCACGCTTGGCCAGCTGGCTATTTTAGATTACATGATTAAGGAAGAGAGAGTATGAGAATAGAACATTTACACTAATATTCAGATGCCAAGAAGATGAAGCAAGAGGAATGAGTGTAAGAGCCCTGGGGTGGTGACAAGTTTTGGCATGTGTGCCTACTCTACGGGGCAAAGGGGCCTATGTGGTTTGAGATCTGAAGGTAAACAGGCAGGAACAAGATAATTTAAAAAGATAACTCCATTTGCTTTATGGAAATTACAGTGATGAGAATGGAAGCCAGTAAGGAAACCAGTTAAGAGACTGTTCTAGTAGTGCAAAATAGGACTGCCTAGATAGGGTAGTAATGAGGATAGAAAGGAGTGTGTGAGCTGAGTGTGTCAAAGCACACAGGGATCAAAATTTGGTAAGAACTGGCTGAGGTGAAGGAAAATGCTGTATCTTTAATTTGCACATAACACTATAAATTTTTAATATATAATCAGTTTTCTATTAACTAAATTGCAATCTAATAAGATAATTGTCTGTGGGTTTGCAAGAAATCCTGTGATTTTTTCACAATGAAATTTAATATTGTCCAATATCAGAAAAAACTGCATTATTAAAAATTATTGTACATTGTCTATTAATAAAATCTTGGATCGATATCACTTGTTGGTTTTATGAACTCAAGCGATCTTCAGATTTATTATCTTAAGTTTGTTGTTCAAATTCTCACTTCAAAAAGTAGAAATTAATTAAATTTGCAGAGTTCTGGGAACCCCCAGACCCAGT